ACAATCCTTTAAGAACTTCTCATCTTTGTGTATGGTGTAATCAGCTATTTTAAGAATGATAGAAAAACTGTTGGTATTTATGGTATTGCAGAGGGAACAACATAAATTGTTAGTTTATTATATTTCTGCTCCTGAATAGTGTGTGAATTTATTTTCTTTATAACACAGCCATAGGTAATAATTTGAGTTAATACATTCCTTTATTGGTTTTGTACTTAAAAGTTGTGTCAGTGTAATGTTTAAAAAAGTTTATTCACAGCGTATCACTGTTTTAGTTAAAAATTGTATTATAGTTAACTTTATTTCTAACACTTATTAATTTTGTATTCCTCTGGTTTCACTTTATTCACACACTTAATTCCCAGTTATCAATTTTAACTTTCAATAACTGAATGTAAACTAAAGATTTTTAAAAAATGTTTGGTATTGCAGTTGTTAATAAGCAAAAAAAAAACAAAACAAAACTTCAATTTGTAAAGTATTTGTTCATGAAAGTTGCATGCTAGAAAGAAATCTATATAAACTTATCCTGTCCACCTGAAGCATCATCTTCTGGTTTAAAGAAATGTTTTATCAGTATTAGTCTTAACAATTTTACTCGCATATTCCAAATGAAGATTTTTTTTGCTGTGGAAATTGACACAAAAAAGCAACATTTTTTTTTTATATTATTGAAAAGATGTTTCTACTTTGTGTTTAACTGTTCACAGAAGATGAAGCTTAAGGACCGTTTGTGAGGTTACAAGGCTAATACAGTATAGTGTGGAAAGACCACACATGTAGATTTTCTATTTTAGGCATCAAATTTATATTGCTCTTTGTATTTAACCTGAATTTTGTTTGTAAAGTGTGTTTAATTGTTAAGATTGTTATTAAAAGATGTGAGAAGAAGGCAGACAATACAAAGGCTAAGATAAACATATTGTTAAATACAGTAATGTAACACAACTGGGAACCGAGAAGCAAATGGAAAGTAGCTTTTGCTAAATTGCTAATTACCAGTAATTAGTAAAGTTATTTTTTTCCTACCTGATTAGGAATTCAGAGTACAAGATCGTGTGTACATAATACACTTTAATTTCTTATGCTAGGCAATACTTGTTTTTTCACCAGAAATCGAACCCCAGATTTTAGCTTTGTAAGTCTGTAGACTTACCACTGTCCTGTTGGAGGATATAGGCAATTCTAATAGAGGGAAAAAATTCCAATATCTGTCCTTTTGATATACCAGTAATATACGTATTTGTATTTTGTTTTAGATAGATTTAAGTGAGTTTTTTACAGGCTTAGGTAACTTAAAATGTTTTATAGTATAGAAAAAAACTGTCATTTATATAATTGTGTGATATGGTCAACGACATAGATAGTACTTAATCTTAACTCTGGTCCCTAGGCTACATGTACAACTAGTGTGCTGGAGAAATGTCAGCAACAGAAACATTTTAAATAGCATCCTTGATATTGTTAACATAATAGCTATAGAAATGCATGTCGTCAGTATTCAACAAATTTTGAAAATCTGAGTTAGAATATATTTTAAATTAAGAAAGAAAAATACTTGTTAACATTATTCTAATATTATTAGTCTTTTTATTATCATTCCACCGAAAACAGCACAACTTGAAATATTTTAGACATTTTTCCAAATAAACAACCTTGAGGCCTAGAAGGAGAAAGAAATTGGATAGATGTGATGTGTCAAGCTTTATTAATGTAGGCTACAGCTATTAACAAGGATTTTGAATACATCTATAGGTGAAACTGTTGATAAAGTGGATAACTTTTCCTCTTTTGGTATTGAATGTTGTTTATTTGTAATTTGTCTTTTATGGACTTGTTTCAAGTAAATCACACATATAATTGTACATCTGTAATTAATGTTATTCTAATTTGTTGGTAAAAATAACTAATAATGTAAACACAAATATGAAAAGAACCTGGAAAGTTTAGGCATTTTTTTTTTTCTGAACAGTAATACTTTTAAAAAAATTTAGGCTAAAGGTGAAAAAAAAAAAAAAGTATAGAATTTCCAAAAGTCCAGCACCATGGGCTTTGAAAAGTTATTAAAATTTAGAAAGTGTGCTTAAGAAGTAGTGGAGGTATGCCATAGTTGTAAATTTATGTATAATGTGAGTGTTACTTACTTGTCAGTTAAGTGAAGGTTGTCATGGAGGCCCCATCATCATGTGGTTCTGAAAAATGGTTAACGTTTTGGTATTAATACGTGTCTGGAAAGTGTATTATGTTGAAGAAACAAGAGAGTTTGTAATTGTTCTGCTGTTGCCTATGGAGAAATAGCTGTATCTTTGTTGTGTTGGTAGTCGGTACCATTTTATGGAGATAGTATCTTGTGTTGTGTTCTCCATTAATATTTGTTATAACTGTTGATTGAAATGTACGTTTTTGATCTATAAAATACATTTGTGAAAATATGTGTAACTCATAGAATGTACTATTGTTGTATGTGAATTATATCATTTGTAAATTTGAAATAGGATGT